TCACTTATTAACAAAGTTTGCTCTACACTTACTTACGATGAGGGATACACTGATCGTTACATGATTCCTCCTATTTTAGAAGAAATAAGAGGAATATCAAAAATATTCGTCATACAGTTTCGAAGTCGATGAGCTTTTATCGATAAAGTTATTTTGAAGACTTTCAATGACGATCAGCCTTAATTGTTCTTACCACCTACAACAACTGAATCTTCAAAAGAGGCAACATCAGTTTCAAAGCCAATTCACGCTATTTCAGTCCCTCACGAATCTACCTCTTTCGCAAGTTCATCAAAAAAAAGAAAGCAAATCAGGTAAAATTATATGTTATATATTATATTAAATATTTAAATTAATATGCACACAATTATTAACATTTATTACAATTTAATAATAACTATTTTATTATTTCCTTTTTTCTTAACTACAGCTCGGAAGAAACAACAAGCCAAAGCAAAAAGAAGTAGATATATGAATAAATCTGTGTATATCTGTAAATAAGTTTGTATATTTTTACTTAGAAAAATTGAGATATAAATAAATGTGTACATATGTGTTACAAATTTACAACAACTTATAAACATATATATATGTGTGTGTTTTTATATAATTTTTAAATTTAAATTATTGTTAATTAAACTATTGCATATCCGTGCAAATGCACGGGTAATCCACTAGTTATTACTAAAATATGCATTCATGGATATTTTTGCTTAAAAAATTAGAGCGGTGACAAAATGTAGTGAATGGACCTAGTAGTTATTAGTTGCTCACTCGATCAATAAAAATAATAAAAAGAGAAAAAAGTTTTTTTTTTTTTTTTGCCCAAATAAGAGGAAAGAAAAAAGATTGATAAGATATATAAATTTTTTAAAAAAATATGATATTCAAACCGACCTGACTCAGCTCAACCCTAAATCTTAAGAGACGTTTGTTTCCTATATTCATTTTTTATTTTGAATCATAATTTATTATTTTTTACAGTATTTTTTCTCATAAAAAATATACATAAATAAAAATAATTCTGACTATGATTATGAATACATAAACCAAACCTCCTCAAATTTAAGATCGGATCAAACCGAATCTAACTTAATAATAGCAACTCTCAAATTGACTCGTTTAATCCGAGTCATCCCTTCCTTCCCACGTTCCCAATATTCACTCCCTCACTCTCTTTCATAACTTCCCTGTTCTCTCTCCCTCCCTGCCTCCTCTTCTCTCTCTATAACTTCTCTTCCCCCTCTATTACACGTTTCTACAAATGCGCTTCCTTCCCCAATTCAAATTCACTTCCAGCCCAGGTAACCACTCCTTTATATTCCTTTTGTGTCTTCTTTAACTTACTCTCTCAATCTTTGGTTCCTCACCGATCCAAGCAAAAAGTGAGCAAAACACTCGACTTTTCTTTTTTCGTTTATGTTCTTTTGATGTTGGTTAGTTCCTTCTAAGTCGATAATTCTCGTTTTGTTTCTACATTTCTTTTGAGTTATTGAATTGTTTTTGTTGAATTTTGCCGCTTTTGGAATTGCGGATATTGTTGATGCGTATTTCTAGCTTGACGGAATGTATTTGAAATCGCTTTATTTTTCTCATAATTGTGGAATCTTTGAGCTTCATTCATTTTAATGGGCAGTTTGTTGAATTGCAAACTTGTAAAATCACATCATAAGGTTTCCGGGTAGGTTTTAGATTTGGGTTTCCGTGAGCTCAAGATGACATTTTTGCGTGGATTAAGAATTTCATTGCTTTGGTTACTATCATTTGAGACTTGTGAACATCAAGATATATTGCTTAGGCTCCCTTCTTGTATGATGAAAATGTTTTGATGAAGATGAGAATGATAGAATTTCACTGCCTGAACTTTTTTATGTTAAAAGTGTTTGCTTTATCGGATCCAACCAACATCGTGTGCTGAAGCTTGAAACTTTTAAGATTTTCTTCTCTGTTCATTTGGATAATTGGCTATTATGGGGTTCTTTCACTTTTCTGGTTTAACATTCAAGTTATTCATCTTTTGGTTTAGAAATGGAGTTAAATTTGTATACTCTGCGCTTAAAATTTTGATTGAATTGCCAAGATGTTCTTATTTTGTGTTGTGGGTTTCACAAAAATCGGCCTTTTTTTTTTAATAAAAGAAGAAAACGAGATTTAATCATTTTGCTCTGGAGAACATGAAAAGGATGACCATAGACATATTCATATGAAGAACCAAATCTGTATTAGTTTGAAATCCACAATTTTGCCACCATTCCTAATTAAACGAAAATCTTTTGCTAAGATTTTCTGGTTTTAAATTTTCCTCTCTATCTATCTCTCTCTCTCCCATCCTGGATTCACCCACAATCTGTCATTCTAAGCCATTTGGCGGGGTCGCTCTTTCCTTTCTGAAGTAGCTGAACTGCCGAAGCGTGATAAAAGCCAAAAACTACGGTCGAAAACTCTATCAGACAGCTGCATCACTTTCTTTTATGGCATGTCAAATAATGGGTTTTTTATCATTTTTGTTCATGATGTTTCTCTTTGAATATTCAAAAGTGTTTTATTAAGGTCAAAGGAAGCCAATCATAATAAATCCTCTTTTTTATAACTTAAGAAAGATGGAACAACATTAGGTTCCGGTGATTGATGTGAAAGAAAGATACGTATTGTTTTCTTATGATATATGGCTTGTCATTTGTCATTATTTCTTCACAATATAATTTCTGTATCTTCCCTCTTCAGGTGAAAGCCAATTGCATTTGTAATGCTGCACTCTCCCCCTCTTCTTGAGTTCAGATGATGACAGTTCCCATGTCTTTTTCTATGTTTCAAGGCCCCAGATTTAGAATCCATACTTTAGCCAATTTCTGGAATGGAAGCTTCCAGAGCTGCACTAGGAGGTACAAGACTAACGCAAAACTACATGATTCCAGAACCCAAGGGCTTGAGGGAACAAGTCCTAAGAAATGGACTAGAAGGCCTCTGACAACAAATACAGAAGGAAGTGAAAAAACTGCTCGTAGCAGTAAAGCGAGCAGCATTACACAGGAAATTTTGGATGGAACAGTTTCAACAACTACTAACTTAAATATAACTAAGACAGCTATGGGTCAATACCAAAAGATTCAACATTATGACATTCGACTAGAGATTGCTAAGAATAAGGATTTGGCAAACCTTGTAACAATTATTACTTTTGATATTGAAACCACTGGGTTGAGTAGGGAGAACGATAGGATCGTTGAGATTGGAGTTCAAGATCTTCGTGGCGGCAAGGATAGCACGTTCGAGACATTGGTAAACCCTGAACGTTATGTTGGAAATGCAGATGTTCATCAAATTACCTCATGTATGGTAAACAGACCTGATGTTCCAAGGTATTGTGGCCTTTTATTTCATTTGAGAATCTGCTATTACGTTAGGGAAATATAGACATGAAATAGATGAAAACTCCAGTTTTTTGTTGTGGAATTTTTTTTGTACCTAGGATCAACTAAATTCATTAAAGAGGATTGGGGAAGACATGTTGCTGTTATTAATGATCAGTGAATTAAGCAGATAACTGAATTTCAGGAATCCTTCTTCACTTTTTATTGCATCTTACATCTGGACTTAATCAATTGTATGTTGCTGCAGGATGAAGGATCTGATACCAATCTTACTGCGGTATGTTGGAAGCCGTCAAAAACCCGGGGGTTACGTATTGTTGGTAGCTCACAATGCTCGTAATTTTGACGTGCCCTTTCTGATTAATGAATTCAACCGTTGCTCGGTACATATTCCTCCAAATTGGCTATTCCTAGACACCCTTCCCTTGGCACGTGAAGCAATGAAATCTGAAGGTCTGTTTGTTTGTGCGTTTGTTATCATCTAACATGCACTTTTGTGGAGATATCTAACGGTTTTGCATGAATTTTGTCATCAGGATTGAAACTTAAGACAAATCTGCAAGTCCTTCGCGAGCACTACGAAATTCCATTGGTTGGTCCAGCTCATAGAGCCATGTCAGACGTGAAATGTCTGTCATTGATTCTTCAGAGGCTTACTTACGACCTGAAGCTTTCACTCTCTGACCTTATTGGGAGATCTTTCACTGCCTCAGATTTAATCAGCCAAAAGAAGAAGAAGAGCTCAGGCTAGTCATGCTTCGGTGTTGTACCAACTCTTTGTTCTTATAATCCAATTTATTATTCCAAGAGCAGCAAGCTCATGCCCATTAACACCTGGTTGTATTTTGTATTATCAAAGGTGTAGACAATACTGGTGGGGCAGGCGGGTCGCTGCCGCCATGTGGGGTTGGCTTTTTTAAACAGAGCCATTCATTGTTATTATTAACACAATTCTTACCAATAAAATTCACTGCATTAGTGATTACAATAGTCTGTTGATGCATATATTAAGTATTTAATTTTTAGTTTTCAGCTTTGCAGCTTAATATGATGTTGAGGCTGTGGCTTCCAACATATTAGAAAAGACGTGCTTTTGATGGACAATATTAAGAATAGTGAAGAATGATGTGGGATGGGGTTTTGGAGGAGGTTGCGGGATAAAAAAAAAAATAAATAAATAACCAATGATAGATCTGTATCTATTCCACTTTTTGAAGAGAAAATGCATGAATAATGCTTTTGGTATTCATCTACTTGTGTTCGAAAAATTTGTACGAAAGTTTCCACCTAAAGATTGAGGAGAAAACTACATTAGAATATCGAAGAAAGAAGATACGGTCTTCACTGCTTTTATTTAATCGTCAGTTCAATGTGTTTACGAAGAAAGAGGGAACGAAAGAACAACCATATATTTATTGGATAGAATTTAAGTTGAGAAATTATCTTGATAAGATTTTCTCATACACATGTTGAAATTGCTAGCAGTGCTACTTATTTCTAAAAAGAAATTCAATCCTTATATCAGATCAGCCTTGATGAAATCCATTACGTGAACAGGAAAAAATAAATAAATAATAAATAAATCTATCAGGATAATGCTTTCATTGAGAGTCGAACTCAAGACCTCCCGCTTACTAAACACGTGCTCTAACCAACTGAGCTACGAAAGCTCGTTGCATGGAGGTTCCACATTGTCATATTAATAAAAAAACCCTGGATCTATACAATCTTATAGATTTTCCGCCTAAGAAACTCCTATACGAGGGTAACTAGAATCTGCAAAATTTCTTAAAAGCAAAATGTATGCGTTTCATAATTTCATTTTATTGTATAATAATGGAATCGATACAGAAATAAAACAAAAAGGTCATCTCGTACGTGTCTGCTGAGAAACGACAGCACCAAAATCCCGGGCAAAAGAAAATCAGAAAATCAACCAATGGTTCCTTAGCAAATACCAGTGGGCCAAAGAACGACATCCAAGAATAGGCTCTACACAAATCCCAGGACAATCATTCCCAGTCAATCACGTTTCCCCTCCCACAGTTTTCCTAACGAAAATGAACAAGAAATGATAGTCACTTTATGAGTAGTATATGTAGTTGTGTGACAGAGTCTGGTGGAACTTGGTCTCTCTTTTTGAATAGCTGTCCCTTGAAGTGAAAACAGAAAGGGAAAATAAACAAAAATTCTGTAGCTATGGCGCCTCACAACTCCGGTAATCCTCATCAAGGGTCAAAGCCACAATCTTCGTGGGTGTAATAGTCCCAGTGGGAGGCTTTCAACATTAGACTCTATCGAAAAATTCAAATAATTCTCAGCGATGATCACAAGATTATCTCCTTTATGATTAGGAGAACCAACATGACGAAGCACATGATTACGAGAACGGAAGCACACATCACCATCCCCCCTTGTTTCTGTGTTCTCTCAGCCTATAAAGCCCAAACAATGCCAACAATATTGCTGAAAAATGAGTGAGGAAACATATACAAAAAGTTTCTAGCAATAGTAATATCACATATGGTTAATATAACGAAAAGGATGTAAAATCATATTTGGGGATCATGAAAGGACCTTCTGCAGTTGCTTGAGACCCTCCTCAACTGTTGTTGCGACATTCTGAATATTGTAGTCTATCCTATCAACAACAGTGCCCTGTTTGTGGAAAGAAGTTTGATCAATGATTCTGAATTCTGTTCGAAATATCAAATATTGTTCTTTGTTTTCTTAACATAAGAAGACTGTTGAAAGTCAATAGAGGGATCTAACCTGGTCTATCACGAGAACGGATAGATCCTTCATAATCTGAGCAAGCTCGTTTACAGATTCAACCACCTGTAGAAAGACAGGAAAGTTTGCTAACTTTGAAAGAATTATCACATCAGTGTCGATCAAAACTCGTGATTAGATCTTCCCTTACCTGTTGGATCTCCCTCTCTCTTTCCACTGAGAGTGCCTCACTCTTTTTAAGCTTAGTAAGCTGATGCTCATTAAATACCTGTTAACGTTTTTGTATGGCCAATGTTAGCTTTCAGCTTAATAATCCACGGACCAAAAGAAACTCAGACATTAGGTGTAATATGATGACCGTACAAAGGGTATTTGATCCTCATATTTGACATGATTAAGAAGATTATAAAGCAATATAAGGGGATGGAGAAGAAAAAAAGGAAAAGGAATAACCAGCATACCATGTCATCTAAATCATCATCTTCCACTCTTGATTTGTTTCCGTTTAGATTCATCTCTATGTCAACCCCATCTTGACCCTAAATCACAAATAAATGCAGGATGTCAGACTTCACAGGCAACGAAACAATGCCAGCTAACAAGAAGAGAACAATCGCCCTACATGAAAAAGCATATACTAAAAGTGAAACATATAATCCTTAGTATATATTCATGAACAATGACCATGGAATGCCACAACACAAGTTGAAACATAACTTTAATATTATGATATTCAGTGATTTGTTATTTCTTTATTGACCTCTTTTTGCTGCCTGAGACGCTTCAAATAAGTGGACTGTTTCTTTCGAAGTTCCATTGAGAGGTTCTGCAAGTCAGTAGCAAGAGAACGCTGCAATAGAAACATGCATATTTAAAAAAAAAAATCATTAGACTAGCCCTATTGCTTGAGTATAACCTAATGTTTTTTCACACTAATGCTGAGGTTTAGGTATAACATGTAAGAAGGCATCTGACTGAATCATTATTAGAAAAGGAAAGGATAAAGAAACAATGTTACAAATACATTAAAAAAGGGAAGAATTGTGAATAAACCCTCGGCACACAGGCATTTAGCAAATGAATATAGCGAAATTTATTTAGCGTATGTTAAGGCCCCAATTAGATTCACTTATGCTAGGAGACCGAAGGCCTAGACGAAAGCCCATGGGTAGGAAGGGAATTTTGTGTAGGCTGCGGAAGGAATTTCCAAGGAGGAAGTGGGGTAGAAGGGAGCGCCTCGGGATTGTGTAGACTGTTAGAGTTTGTTAGAGAATTATGTTATTCTCATTGTGAGCGTAAAATAAAAGGGGGAGGGAATGAAGAGGGAGCCAGGCAATTGATTAGTCAAAAGAGATTGGTTAGGTGGGAGAGCTAGCAGACCTCTCCAATAGTCTGCGAATTTATCCTCTCTTCTATGCGTTTTCTTTTTGAAGTAAATATAGAACAGAGCAATTCTTGCTCAGAATCGTCCCATTTCTTGTTCCAATTTATCCGGATTGTATCAATTTGGTATCAGAGCCTCACGATCGGGGAAGTATGGCTGCGAAGAAGGTGGAGTGGCTGGGCATCATGGAAGAGCAAATCGGCACTGTGTGGGGAGACATCCAACGCGAGATAGAATCTGTTAAGGGGGATCTGCAAAAGTGCCAGAGCTGGAGAAGGGAATGGCCGCTCTCAACGTGAAGCTGGAGATGTGGTTGAAATCGCATAAGGCACCGGAGGGTAGTCATCGGGAGCCTTCGGAGGATCCTCACCCCCACAGAGCGGCGTTTTTAGCAAGGGACACGGATCGGAGCGGCGGACATCGGGAGTCTGACTGGAGGTACGAAGGGAGAGGACGGAGACTGGAAATGCCGGTCTTTGACGGAAACAACCCCGACGGCTGGGTTCTCCGAGCAGAGCGATATTTTAACATGAATCGTTTGACTGAGGCAGAGAAGCTAGACGCTGCTGTCATTAATCTCGACGAGGATGCCCTAGCATGGTTCTAGTGGGCGGATGGGAGACGAGCAATCCGAGATTGGCAGGATTTGAAGATGATGATCCAAGATCGGTTCCGACCGACACAAGAAGGTACGGCTACGGCAAGAAGGAACGGTGGATGAGTATCGCCAGCAGTTTGAACTCTTGGTGGCTTCATTGGTGGATATTCCCAACCCCATCCAGGAGGGAAATTTCATTAATGGACTTGAGCCCGAGATTAGGGCCGAGGTTCGCATGGCCCAGCCCAAAGGATTGGGCCGGATAATGGACTTAGCCAAGAGAGTGGAGGAGCGCAATGAGATGCTACGTAAGCCCAAAGGCCCACTTCCAGCCCAAGGCCGAGCTCCAGTTCCTGGCCTTCACACTAACTTCAAAGTCCAGCCTTCTACGTGGAACAGGACACCACCGCCTAACGAGAAGCCGACGAGTAACAAATTCGAACCAAATAACTCTGTCTTTCCGACGTTTGTTTGAAACCGAGTACCAGGCCAAAAGAGCGAAAGGGTTGTGTTTTAGATGTGATGAAAGGTACAGCTCAGGCCACGTTTGCAAGAAGGAGTTGCAAGTGTTGCTCGTGGAGGATGAGGGAGAAATCCAGGAAGCAGCTGAGGAAGTGGATGATACGGAAGCGCCGGAGATTGGGGGAGATGGTAGAAATTTCTCTGAACTCGGTGGTGGGATTAACTACCACGAAAACTATGAAGATGAGGGGACGGGTGGGACCCCAAGAGGCGGTGGTTCTGGTGGACTGTGGTGCTACACAATTTTATCTCCTCAATTTTGGTTCAGAAATTAGGGATTCCGGTGGTGGGAACAGAGGGCTATGGGGTGGTAATGGGCACCGGTATTTCAGTGCAGGGAAAAAGGGGTGCAAAGGAGTGGGGCTAACCTTGGCTGGGTTAGAAATCGTGGAGGATTTCTTGCCCCTAGAATTGGGTAGCTCGGATGTTATCCTAGGAATGCAGTGGCTGGGTACGCTTGGGGGAATGCATGTCAATTGGCAGACACTTACCGTGAAGTGTCGGGTGGGTGAGATTCAAGCAACTCTGCAAGGGGAACCTAGTCTGAGCAAATCCCTCGTGTCCCTGAAGTCGATGATGAAGGTTTTGCGGAAGGAGAAGGAAGGGTTGTTACTGGAGTTTGGACAGGGGTCAGACGGATTGGAGAGTGGTTGTGGGCAGGACGAGCAAGCTCCAAGACCTATACACGCACTGCTGCAACAGTATTCCACGGTCTTTGAGATGCCCGAAGGGCTTCCTCCCCGGCGGAGTCGTGATCATGCAATTATCCTTCGAGAGGGGACAACCCCCATCAGTGTAAGGCCGTATCGGTACCCACAAGCCCAGAAGGATGAAATAGAACGTTTGGTTAAGGAGATGCTGCAATCTGGAATCATTCAAGACAGTTCCAGCCCTTTTTCCATCCCGGTGTTGCTAGTTAAAAAAAAATACGGTAGTTGGAGGTTTTGCGTTGATTATCGCGCTCTTAATCAAGCAACAGTGCCGAACAAGTTCCCCATACCGGTCATAGATGAACTCCTCGACGAACTGCATGGAGCTTGTATTTTTTCGAAGTTGGACCTCAAGCCCGGTTATCACCAGATTAGGGTGCAGGCAGAGGATGTGCCGAAAACTGCCTTCCGGACTCACAAAGGGCATTATGAGTTCTTGGTGATGCCTTTCAGGCTCACAAACGCGCCGGCAACTTTTCAATCGTTAATGAACGATGTCTTCAAAGCCTTTTTGCGGAAATTTATCCTAGTCTTTTTCGATGACATCCTCCTGTATAGTACGAGTTTAGAGGACCATGTGGGGCACTTGGCTCAGGTGTTGGAGGTGCTGCAACAACATCATTTATACGCAAACAAGAAGAAATGCAGTTTTGGCCAATCGCAATTGGAGTATCTAGGCCACATCATTTCCACAAACGGGGTGGGCAGCGGATATGAAGAAAGTGGCCGCCATGCTGACATGGCCAACTCCATCGTCACTCCGGGAACTTAGGGGTTTCTTGGGCTTAACCGGATATTACCGGAAATTTGTCCAAGGTTATGGTAGCATTGCATGGCCCCTTACGGATCAGCTTAAAAAAGACAATTTTGGTTGGACGCTAGCGGCTGACCGAGCTTTTCGACAGCTTAAGCAAGCCATATCATCCATACCCGTGTTGGCTCTGCCAAACTTCTCACAGCCGTTTATAGTCGAAACAGATGCTTCAGGATATGGATTGGGGGCAATTTTATCTCAAAACCAGCGGCCAATTGCTTATTTCAGCCACATCTTGTCTCCTCAAGGCCGGTTGAAGTCTGTCTATGAACGGGAGCTAATGGCTATCGTTCTTGCCATCCAAAAGTGGCGGCCTTACTTGCTGGGACGGCGGTTCATTGTTCGGACTGATCAGAGTAACTTGAAGGATTTACTCGAGCAGCAGCTGGTAAGCTCGGAGCACCAATGATGGCTTTCCAAGCTTCTGGGGTACGACTTTGAGATTCAAAACTGTTCGGGGACTGGGAATAAGGCAGCTGACGCACTTTCTCGGATTACTCCAGTTTCCTCGTCTTCTCTCTCACTTCTTTCTGTTCCAGAACCCTTGGATATGACGGAGTTGCAGCAGCAAATTAGCCAGGATGCATGCCTATGCCAAATCTAGCAGGCAGTCCAGCAAGATCCTTCGGCTTACCCAGGGATTTCTATAGAGCATGGCCGGTTGTTGTTCAAGGGCCGTATGGTGATTCCCAAAGCCTCTCCTTTTGTCCACACACTGCTTCGGGAATACCATGACAGCCCTATCGGTGGTCACTCTGGAGTGTTCATGACATATAAGCGCTTGGCAGCGGAATGGTATTGGTTGGGCATGAAACGTGATGTGCAGACCTATGTGGCTCAATGCCCCACTTGTCAACAAAACAAAAACCAATCCTTATCTCCGGGGGGACTATTGCAGCCCTTACCTCTACCGGACAGGGTATGGGACGATGTGTCGATGGATTTCATCGAAGGGCTGCACAAATCGGAAGGGTACGACTCCATTTTTGTAGTCGTGGATCGGCTCAACAAGTATGGCCATTTCATTGTCTGCGTCACCCCTATACAGCTCACTCGGTTGCTCAAGTGTTCATGACATACGTGGTTAGGTTGCACGGCATTCCCAGTTCCATCGTCTCCGATCGCGACAAGGTATTCCTGAGCACCTTTTGGTCCGAACTTTTTCGCTTGCAGGGAACCTCTCTTAACCGCAGCACGGCATATCACCCGCAAACGGATGGGCAAACCGAGGTCGTGAACCGGTGCATTGAAGCTTACCTCCATTGTTTCGCCTCGGATAAGCCCCGCCAATGGAAGAAGTGGCTTGCTTGGGCGGAATATTGGTATAACACGTCATTCCATTCGGCGGCACAAACCACACCTTTCCGTATCCTTTATGGGCATGACCCGCCTCCCCTAGTTCATTACAGCTCAGGGACCACCACGGTTTCTTCTGTTGAGCAGCAGTTGGCTTCTTGGGATGGCGTGCTCGATGAACTCAAACAACATCTGGTCCGTGCTCAAGAGCGCATGAAGTTGGAGGCGGATAAACACCGGCGGAACGTGCAATTTGCTTTGGGCAATATGGTTTACCTTAAGCTCCACCCCTACCGGAAGCGAATACTTGCCACTCGTCGCAATGAGAAGTTGGCTCCCCATTTCTATGGTCCATATAAAGTAGTGGCACGTGTGGGCGTTGTGGCTTACAAGCTACGCCTGCCTAAGGGTGCCCAAATTCACCATGTGTTTCATGTTTCCCAGCTTCGCCGGGCAATTGGCGCCACTCAGTCCTCCCATCAACTTCCACCCCAACTGTCGGCCGACCACGAGCTTTTAGTAGAGCCTGAGCAGGTGTTGGGAGTTCGCCCCAGAACGGACGGTCAACCGGATGTGCTCGAAGTGCTGCTCCAATGGCGTGGGCTTCCCACCTTTGAGGCTACTTGGGAGCCGTTCTCCATCATTCAGCAGCAGTTTCCAGCCTTTCCCCTTGAGGAAAAGGTGAAACTTTAGGCGGCAGGTAATGTTAAGGCCCCAATTAGATTCACCAGGAGACCGAAGGCCCAGACGAAAGCCCATGGGCAGGAAGGGAATTTTGTGCAGGCTACTAAAGGAATTTCCGAGGAGGAAGTGGGGTAGAAGGGAGCACCTCGGGATTGTGTAGACTGTTAGAGTTTGTTAGGAAATTCTATTATTCTCATTGTGAGCGTAAAATAAAAGGGGGAGGGAATGAAGAGGGAGCCAGGCAATTGATTAGTCATAAGAGATTGGTTAGGTGAGAGAGCTAGCAGACCTCTCCAATAGTCTGCGAATTTATCCTCTCTTGTATGTGTTTTCTTTTTGAAGTAAATATAAAACAGAGCAATTCTTGCTCAGAATCGTCCCATTTCTTGCTCCAATTTATCCGGATTGTATCAGCGTACTCCACATAATATTTAATCATTGCAAAGGTATGTGTAAATCTTAATAACACTAGAACTAGGACTACGAGAACTTATTGAACATTATGTTAACTTAATGATCTTGATAGAGGAGACCTATTACCTAAAACACCAAAAATATTGGTCTATGTACAATTACACAAATTATCAAGTTGCCCTTGACTTAACAAACCTCGTGAGAACAAAATGTGAAATAAAAGAAATAATCACAACCTAAAAACTACCCAAAACATTATATTCCCAGAGGTTCTTGAGGACAAAATAGGTTCTAAGAGGAAAGAGTTCGCTTTGACCAACCAAAGACTATTGCGTCACACTGGAACCTACCAGTTCGTCTGTTCTACACTGAAGTGAACTACATTCAGGTAATAACCGTTTTAAAACATGCAGATTAACAAACAATCCAATTTGAAATCAAGAGGCGGCAGATAAAGATAATTGTGCACAATCACATATATTAAACTACATTGCTCAAAACCCAATGGCTTTCAAATAATACCTGCACATTTTTTCTGACATTTGAATCTTCAGAAGGTCCGGTGGCAGAAAGTCTTTGTAGTTTCTTCTCTGATTTTCTTATCAAACCAGTTATCTCTTGTGTAAGGGCCTCAATCAAGCGCTGATCTTCTTTACCATCTCCAAAAGAAGGCATTAAAGCCTTTGCATGAGCCTTACTTAGCTCGGCCATTTTCACACGTGCACGCTGCACATTTGCTGATATTTCTTCAGATACATCTACCCAAGCTGGAGGTAGACCTACAGTAAGAGCACCCTTGCTGCAGTAATAGAGACACTTGCTGCAGTAATAGAGACACGTGAGTTTCTGTAAATGGAATATCTAAATGGAAAAGCAACCAATAGCTGCATGTTCATTTTGTCATATTTTGTGTCATACTTATAGAGAGCATAGTCATGCACCTGGATGATAGAATTGCCAACTTATTATGGCTATTCCAGAATTTCAATATCCGAATCGAGGTGTTATTAGCAATTGGTAAAATTTGTTGGCATATTCTTTATAAGAACCAATTGACACCCAATAAGATTGATACAGAAAGGGCTTCTATGCACTTTAAACGAGTAGGAATTAGGATTAACTTAAGTCCAACTCATATGGACTTCAAATGCTAATAGATTTTCACATAGGGATTACAAGACCCACAAACTATCAACGGAAAGCTACTGAATAGATCTGCAGGCTGCCAATGAACACGCGAGACCCAAAATTTAATTGTCTGCATGATCACTCAGGAATTATCACGGCTTAGAATTAGATTAATCACTTGTAATCTTCTATAATCACAAGTTCTACAATCTTGGACGGGAAAGCATGGAGAGCACACCAATTGTACACGAAACCTCAACATCATAGTGCTGATTTTTCGCGAAGCTCATAATCTATTCTGGTGTCAAAATAGATACTTTCTGAACAATCATCACTAACGCTCTAATCATTAGTTTACTAAGCAATGACCAGAATTCAGTTTAAACCTTTTGCTACGCTTAATTCCACAAACGGAAGGTTTAATTCCTAAAGTCGTCCTACATTTTTCCCCAACGAGAACTAAACAGAATTAACTCAATAAAACCGTGGATAAAAATGGAAAATTCTCAAATAAATCGAAATCCGAAACAATTCAAACAAAATATCATATGCATTCGTGCAGATAGATATATATATATAGAGAGAGAGAGAGAGACCTTGAATTACCCGGATCCTCAGTACTGAGCGGAGCATACGAACGATTCGGATTCAGGAGCGATGTGTTCGCCAACTCAATCACCGGACCGCCGGAGCTCGTAGACGTCGAGGAGCTCGTCGGAGCACGGACGCTCTTCCACGGCAAAAAAAAAAAAAAAAACTAAACTATCAGAGAAGACGATCTCCGTTGCGATCTCGTCATGATCATCAATCAGGTAAAGAGAGAAAAATGGAGGACGTCACGTGATCTAACACCGGAGATCGGAGACGGAGTTCGGTCACATGCTCCGGTGAAGTTGGAAATGTATGCGTCAGGATTTGGTCTAGTTTGGTGGGAAGGTTAATAAGGGAATTACATGTGATGTTTAAGAGGTCTTTTGTGTTTGTCTTATTGAGTCATATCTGAACGAGCTAAAAATGAATAGCAACACCAGAAGGTAGACTCCAGTGAGGTCCACATAATGGCTCAATTTTTATTAGTGGATTAAATGTGAAATATTTTAGTTTATAAGAATTTTTTAATATATTTTAATAAGTAAGAATTTTTAGCAGTAACATAAGAGAATATTCTGTATTTGATGTACTATTTATGCCTTTCATGTACTATGTAATTGGAATATGCTAATTATCCTTCTTTTAAGAATATTAATTAGATGCATTTTTGACAATTGGCTGTATATTTGGGTCGATTTGTAAATTTAATTTTCAAGTGACCTATTTCACTCAGATTTTAATTTATAATTTCAATTTTTATCTTACAAAACGTAATTTTGTAAGAAATCTTTTGATTGATAAAAACAAAAAATGTAAGTTATGCACTCATCCTTTTAATTCATGACGCTTTGATCATTTATCTTTTGTTTTTCAATCTCATTTTTAAAAAATATAAATATCTCCATTATAGTTTTTCTATTTCTTTAGAAATTTCGTAATATCGTCAATATTTATTGAGCTCTTGTCTATATTATTAAACTCGCTACTTCGTGCTTTTGCAAGCATATTATATGAGAACATTTAGCAACTATGAACCGTACTCATTTTAAATAGAAAATAACATCCTAAACATGTGTAGAGTTGTGTGCAGTTCTAATCTGAATTATCAATTTGAAAATAATGATAATAACAATAATAAATTGTTAAAAAAACATTTTCATAGTAAAAAATTAAGAAAAATAATAAAGCCTAGAAATATTCATTTAAAATAGGGTTAATTTCAATAATAACACTCCTGAATAAATTATTATTAATTTTAGCATTATTTTTGTGTACTTTCACAATTAGTATTGTCATGTCAGCAAAAGTGGGACTATGTCGTTTTTACTTGAGTTAAAATGATAATTGTGCCCCATTTCATTTTTGAAGCCTTGAATATATTTTGAAACCTTTTATAATTCAAATATTCAAAGTATAGAGAGGAGGAGGAGAAAGAACGCGGGTGTGCACAGAGACCAAGAAATCCCAACGACCACCACTATCTACCACCGTCTACCACCTTGAGCACCGACGAATCCACGATAGCGAGAACCCACGCAATCACGCGACGAGAACCAACGAACCTTCGCCGGAGAAATCAACGCCTAAACCTCTTCGTCGGAGAAGAACAAACCGAGGAAACCTCGCCCTCTTCACCAGAGAAATCAACCACGAAACATACGAGGTCAATGGTGGATTCCGAGACAAAGGTGAAAACTTTGTTGACTTTTCTTGTTTATTTATTTTTTTCTTATGTATTTATTGTTTTTTTTCTTTTACCATTTTCTGTCATCTTAGAAGAAAATAAAGGCTTTAGAGGAGGAGATAAAAGCATATTAGGTCAGTTATTTGAATTTTTGTCATTGTGCTCCTTATTTGGTCTGTGACTCTGCTTGATGGCCGGTCATATCATTATGACTGGTCGGTAATTGTATTATGACCGGTCAGTAATTGTATTATGACCGGTCATAAGACAGGCACAGCGTGCGGTCATAGTACTATGACTGATGGTCATAATCCTATGATCGGTCATCAGGCAGGCATGCTCATAGTGTGACTGCCTGATTGGTGAGCATACGGTCATAGTACTGTAACTACACTATGTAACTGCCTTATGACCGGCCATCAGTCATAACACTATGAGCGAGCCTGCATGATGAGTGGTCATAGAATTATGATCGTCGGTCATAGTACTATGACCGCCCAATGGTCAGACTCTTAGTGTGTGAGTCATAGTACTTTAGTTAACAACTTTGTTTGCTTTTCTTGTTTTTTTGTATTTATTGTTTTTTTTTTTACCATTTTTTGTGATCTTAGAAGAAAAGAAAGGCTTTGGAAGAAGAGATGTCATTGATAGAATGTGACCCGTCTTCAATAACATATCTTAAGAATAAACTTTTTCTTGTGGTCGAATCCCAAGCACATTTCTCACCAAATCTATAAGACTAATATAAGTTGTGTTGGTGAGGACCAATATAAGTTATGTTGGTGAGAATCAATATTCCCTTCATTTCACAACCGATGTATGTCGAAGCACAGTCCCAATGGCTATTGTACTTGATGAAGACATTCAATCAAGCAGACAATTCTAAATAATTTCAAAAATAATAACTGTTAATCAACATGCAATTACTCATAGTCGTCATCGAGTCATTAGAAATGGTCAGTCATAACATTGTGTAATGGCCGGTCATAAGGCAGTCATAGTGTGCCAGTCATAACACTATGGGTCGTTTCAGTTATAATATTATGACTGGACGGTCATATCACTATGATTGTCTTATGGCCAGTCATAATACTATGACCGGACTATGACCTGTCATTTTGACTCATACTGTTATAATTTGACCCATAGACAATGACTCATACTGTTATGACTGACTGGTCATAGTATTATGACCGAACATACAACACTGTAAGTCATAATACTATGACTCCCTATAAGTCTTTGACATGTTGGTCGTTACAATCGGTTTACATATAAGTTATAAATCATCCAAAATCTCAAATTGACGAATGATATTTTTAATGTCTATCACATTAAGCTCAACCCAATCATTTTTTCGAGTTCTATATACTAAGTCTCCCAAAAATAAATTTAAAAAGACAAAAACAAAAAAAATTGTGTATCAACCTCGATCTAGTGCACAACCGGAGTATTGGCGACGAGGGAATGAAGACATAGGGAAGAGAGAGACCGAGGAGAGAGAGAGAGAGAGAGCCGAAAATGGGGTGTAGAGAGAAAGAATGAGCAGGAGAGAGTTGGGAATCTCTTTGATGTGCTTTTAAATGATAATTTTGACATAAGTGGCATAGAAATCATTTTACCTCACACTGCTGACATGACAATATTAGTTGTGAAAATACACAAAAGTGGTGCTAAACTTAATAATAATGTATTCATGAATGCTATTATTGAAATTAACCCTTTAAAATATTAATAAGTGTTAAGGTAAAAGAAAACTTGTAATCCTCTTATATAGATGGTTTAGTAAATAAGTTTTCATCTATCTCCATTGCGGGACTTTTGCATTTGCTTTTAGAGGCCTATGATATATATTTACCGTTGCACCTAAAGATACGCTGTCTTACTTTGATCATTAACTTTTAGATATGTAACTGTCTAGACGTTTATAATTTTGACCTTTCAATTAATAAACGAATTTTCAAATAAAAAACAACACAACTCAAGGATGACGTGTGAGCGTTTTAAAAGCAACAAAATGGTAATACAAATGTTAAACTCAAAAATATTATTACGAAAAAAGAAAAAAAAATAAGATTAGGCGATGCAAACTTATTTTGGTTTGAGATTTAAGGCCCGTTTAGTTTGCTGATTTGAATTTTTAATTTAAGTTAATATGTGACTTTATGTGAGTTTTTTATTGTAGTAAAAAGTTAAATGTGACTGTTTCTGAGAGTTTTTTATCGTAGTAAAATTTAAATTCTAAAATCAAATTGATGAAATGAACGGAAACTTAGTTTTTCTTTCTAGTTTTTTTCTTTTTTCAATCCCCTTTCTTTATCATTTCATCTTTCTTAAAACTGATGTGCTATACTCGTGTTAGATTCTTAATGAAAATAATTATTTTTACTAGAGGACCATAACTATATATTTTAGAGATACCGTGTTAGTTAGACCTAAAATTGGATACCAAAGAATCAAAATAAGGTAAGTGCTAAAGGCATGATAGTTTCTCAATTTCAAATTACAATTCAGACTTTTCGTTATAGTATTTTTTTTTTCACAATAATTCAAGAGAGAATGAGACAAATACCCTCTTAAAGTGTTTGAATCTAAATTTTTACCCTTTACTCTTAATTAATATCATTTTAGTCAAATAACTACATTAGTCAAAAGGGTATTAATTAACTGTAAAATGTAAAAATCAAGGCTCATGCATCTTTAAGGATAAGTTGAGTAATTCTCTCATAATTCTAATTTTAATTTTTTGTTACAGTGTTTTCTATCAAATAAATTTATTTTTAAACTCAAGCTCTAAATTCGGGTTTGCGAAAAGAGCGCGTCCTAAATTCATGGGCCATTTGTAAAAAGTGCGAGAAAACAAGACAAATAACTATTCGCACCCATAGATGTTTGTCACACAAACATTGGCCCATAAAATTATTGATTTTTGAAACGTTTTTTAGTGCGGAAGCGTGGTAGTGCAAATCATATGTAACACAAATTTTCATAAAACTTTTGAATACTTTATAGATTATATTAATGTATACAATAATGTATTAATCATATTAATTTATAAAGATAGATACCTAGCGAAGGATTAGGCATATAACTTGAGGTCTTTGACCACGTACAGTCCAAGCTCCAAGCTTTCTTAGAAATTCTAATCTTCCTCGTCTAGTCCTTAAAATCTGCAAGACCTAGAGTGTGGGCTCTAATATAGAACTATCAGATTTGATTACTCGCTAATTTATATTTCTACACTATCAACGCATGTATATGAAGAAATTGGGAATTGAAAAAAAAAATTTCTTCTCTTTTTCTCTCTTAAAATTCGGTCATCAATGAATTTTTAGAGCAAAAAATTCTCTCTTCTAATTTTTTATTGTCTCCTATTTATAGAAAAACACTAAGATAACTCATTGTTTTAGCTTGAAGATAAAGCAATAGAAAATTAGTTATTACTATATTTTAAATC